ACTAAGCACATCGACGTGAGGTATCATTTCTTGAGGACAGAGAAGATGATTAAGGTGAAGAAGGTTGGCACCGCGGATAATCCTGCTAATATGTTCACGAAGCCGGTTCCACATGGCAAGTTCCAACACTGCTTGGACTTGCTGAATGTCTTAAGTGGGTGACTCCGCCCTACGGGGCATTGATGGCAGGAGAGAGAGAAGGAGTAGAGTACATCAGAGATTTAAGAGGAAGATGATTCAAGTCAAGGTGGAGATTTGTTGATGTGACTTGAATAGGACTATCAGCCGTGTGTCTTGTTTTCGATTCTCGCTTTCGTATTCTTGCTTTGTCGATTCCAGCGATTTCACGATCCGTAGCAGCGCATTTTTTATAACATTCCTCTCTCTCCTGCTCAGGCGGACTTTCAGTAGCAATTCCGGCGAACTTCTCCATCGTTGTTCCTCCACTGATCTCTTTCACCATCTTCCTCCTCAACTTGCCTTTAACTGGTTTTTACTAATCCAATCCGATCCCGCCAATCTTTTGTTGATCATATTCTCAAATCCCAACAAAAATTCAATCCTAAAAGACCAATTAAGAAATTGAATAGTTTTATGAACCCGATAATCCAGCAACCATAACTCTACAATGAAATGAAGATAAAAAAAAAAAACTCAACTAGAATTGATGAACGAATGAAAAATCGACAACGATACCAAATAGAAGAAAAATAGAGCTCATTTGGTCCATTAACCAAATTTAGAAACTTCATATTTTTATCCTAACAAACTAAAAACTCAACTAAAAATAAAAATACGCCCAATTAGCTGTTCTAAGTTCTAACCAATTAGCTACACAAACTAACATAATTAGATCAAACTTCATTGAAAGACTTTCCCCTGCCATTCATTTAACGATGCAAGTCACGTTGTGAGTCCAAGACTTGAGATGCCGGTTCATTGCCGGCGAATTTTTCGACGACGGGATCTTGCCCCGAACATCCCGTTCAGAGTTGCATCCTCCAGCCCCGCCGCCATAGCTCCAGGGAGAAAAATCAATCAAATCATCGAAACAGAGATCAAGCTCGAGCAAAATCTTCCGGTTGCTCCGCGATCTCCTCGCCATCCTCTTCCTCCTCTCCAGCGGCGATTCCGGCTTCGACTGGAACACCACTATCTCCCCTGCTGCTCTGTCTCCTCCTCCTCCTTCGTTACTTTGCTTCTCGGTCGCCACCAGCGACTCGAATTCTTCTTTCGGAGAGGAAACTATCAGCTCGGAATTGAAATCTTCATCCTGTTCAACGACATCGGAGCTCTGGATTACTGTAATTTGATTGCTCTGCTCTTTTTCCGATTCTGGAGATGGGATGGGATCGGCGGTGGGGAGAATTGGAGAAGAGAGGGCGTTGCCGAAAAACCAGAGAGACTCTAGGCTCTCCACCAGCTGCTCGTATTCCGCCATTGGAAATCCCCAACAGGCGAGATTTCGGAGAGAGATTAGGGATTCAAGGTGTTAACAGTTTTAATTGGATAAAACTCTACAGCTGAGTAGAAGAGAGACGGGTAGGACGACGTTTCTATATTCTCGTCGAATAAGCAGGCGCGGATCGAGCAATTATCAGATGCCAAACCATAATTCCCTCGGAAAATAGAATAATATTCGGATTCGGAAATTCATTGACCAAAATTCTGAAAATTACGTACGGATGCCAGATCATAATTCCCGTAACCATTGTGTTTCTTGGGTTGTATATATGGTGATGTGTTGCATATGCCAATTTCATTATTTTAGATGATGAATTAAGGTAGTTTTAAAAGTATGATACTGTACTTTGATTTTTAATGGATGAATGATAGACCTGGATTCTCTATACTTAGACCATAAGATTAATTTTCAAGAAGAATAATAATCGACGGGTATGATTATTGTAAGTGCATCGAAGTACATCTAATACGTGTGTACACATACGTGCATTATACTTCAAGTGATCTCGTCGTTGGATGTACTTCGTTGTACTTCGATGAATCATAGTCGCCATGATTATGATTCGTCGATATCAAGGTTGTCAACCCGCGGGTTGACTCGGACCCGGTGGAGCTAGTGGGTCAAGGGTTAATTGGTCACCCGTTTTAGCCCGCTTTAGCCCGGAAATATGGAAAGAGTCATTATATTGTACTTATCCTGATAAATTATATCAAATCTCATCTAACATATGAGTTATAACATATGATATTTCACCAAAATAACATGTCGTACTTAGATCCAACATATATTGAAAATTCACACACTTATATAACATATATATTCAAATGTTGAACTTAGAATTCCAAAAGATAGAGTTAGACTGTATGGTATGTGCACGAATTGAGCCATCAATATTTCAGCAAGAGGAACACCAATTAAATTATTAACCGGGGTATTATTATGGCGTGGGTAGACTTTCCACTTGAACAAAGACGACAAGTGAAGGAAAGAAAAAAAAAACTTGCAGTGGGGGATCAAGATTTCAACGTGAGTTGGTATACAATACAGGTTGAGTCGTTGACATTCAGTTCAAAATCATTAGTTGATCAGGAAGTGGGAAATCGTATCAACCCCATTTTGGCTGGTGGTTGACTGGTTGGCAACTACATTTATTAGATTGAGTTGTGCTGAATCTTCATCCCACTCTAACCATATAATTTCATGACCTCTTAGTATTCAACCAAATCATGGATGATTATGCTCCTCGTTAAATTAAAAAGTGTATCCCATTCGATTGCCAACAATTTGGAATAACTAACATAATAATCATCATGCGTCAAAGTTTGTTATCCAAATTACTATATACTTCAGTTCGTTAACTCCTCACGCAAATTAGTGAACAAAATAGGTCGGCAAAATACATTTCCTCTTGCAGGTTATCAGGCAGGAGCATAAAATGGCTAGAGTACTTTGGTTTCTAACAGTTGTGAGTTGGAATCAGTATATGCAACGAGTTCGGTTTCATTGAAGCGTGAGTTAAAATGAATCGTCCATGTGAACATAACCGATTGAGTTTTCAAGTTGTCTACTTATCTTGTTGGTTTGATTGGGTTGACACTCTAATTTAAACAAGTTGGACGGATAACTTGGTTGCGATAGGCAAAGTAGCTACTGTTATGTTTGTCATTCCAAACTATTGTGACATGATCGTTCTGCTTATGGATATGAAAGAATTTATAGAGTACTCTTAAAGAAAGACCATTCACTGCTAGTGAATTTCAACATTTCTCGGAGATAAGTAGAAAACCATGTCTCAAAATCACAACGCAACAAAAACACAACCACAAAGACTATCAAAGCATCAACACTTTTACTTATTAACAAAAAAAAAAACCCTTTTATTGTAAAAACTGAGTTTGTACATAATATTATTATGGTATAAATTCCGCTTCTACCCAAAATTTAGTCACTAATGGCCTAAGTATCTGACTCACATCCTTAATGTTCTCTTTTATATTAGGGATCAACTAACAAAATCTTTGACCGGTTGTTCAAGCAAAAAACCAAACCTTGGGAACGAGGTTTTGCCCCCGATGGATCTAGGCTCTTAATCTGTCGACACTTGTAATTAAGACAAATTAATAAATTAAGCTGCCTAGCTAGCCATGTTCTTCTTCCTTTTTCCAGTTTGAGATTCGCTTTTAACCAACGATTTCACTGCTGTTTCCTGCTAATTCTTCTTCGCTGTCAGAAATTAATTCCCTCTTTTGCCGTCCATTGACCCATGCAACCAAACCACAGGCTGTGATTCTCTTCCACCTGGAACAACATTCCGATTTGTAACACCATTTTACTTGGAAGGGTATAATATAATGGTTAATGGCGCCATGGCAGAACATAAAGGAGATTTTTCTTTTTTTTTTTTACTTACAACAGCTACGAGAGGCGATCCAGAGGCACAATTATGCGACCAATTATAAAGTTACTGACGCCTTTTCACCTATCACAACTCCTGTGTATTCAGGTAAATCAAATTTGACGAGTCGAAATCGACTAGAAAAGTGTTTCATTCCACAACAACAAGGGGCGAAATCAGTATTTCAAGTTTGAGGGGCTCAATTATGATGGGATTTTTTGAAAATAAAATTATTAACGATAAGTAAATGCATAAATTATTCGAATGAAGAAATTTACTTTGGATATTTTTCGAAATCACAAATCCTTATTACATTTCATATCATACGAAATACCTAATTTTTATCGATGAACCTTTACCAAAACCCCCAGCGAGAGTCCAAGACCATGGTGTGGTGCCCATGCCCATCGCCTATCCTCATTCCAAGCCACAATAAACTCCAAGCACAAACCGGGGGAATGGAATGGAAGTGGCATAGAGAAGAATGAAGAAATAGTCCACCAATTAGTTGCATACAAGTGGACAAAGAGCTAATGATCGAATCGGTTTACCCCGATTTAACCTCGACATCATCAGTAAAAAAAATAAACAGATGACTGAATGTAAGCTCACTTTGAATCTCTGCTAGTTTTTAATCCAAGCAAAGGAAAGCCCTCTGCAATCCTCCCCCACTTACCCAATTTCCTCAAAAGAAGTGATCGAGAGAAGGAAAGTCTTGATTGAAATGTGGATGGATGACCAACCTTCAATCATCGTCTCGGCTAAAATCCAAACTAAGCCCGCCGACAATTATTATTGTTAAGACTCATCGGAACTTATTTTTACAAGAACATGTTCATGAGGAATGCTACTATATATAGATGGGGAAAAGGAAATGAGCATCATTTCAAAGATTCGAATTTAGAAACTCGAGACTGAAAATCTATGACACGACCACGACCTCGTTTGCAAGCCTCGTACGTAGTTAATTAATTAACATCTTCATCAATTCCAACAATGTAGTTTTTTTTTTATTTCGCTCTGTATTTACATTTGGCAGGGGTAATTAACGAACAGTAAAAGAATCATCTTACAAACGAATTAAAAGAATGAATTTTTTCCCTCTCTGTGTGTGTGGCTTCGGATTTGGTCCAACCAACGTTATCTAACAGTAGATGCAACAGTGTGCGCCCACAATCTCAAGCTATCTTTCATATCCATCTCGCTCCCCAATCCCATCGCCGGAACCCGCCAATTCGTCACCGGATTCCTCAATTTCTCCGCCTCTCGAACCGCCCAGGCTTCCGACAAGTACGGCCGCGGAATCGCCGATTCGTCCACTTCCCCGTCGACCTTCTTCCCCAGCCTCTGCAGCCCGGGGAGAATCGACGCCAACCTGGAGTCCTTATCTTCCTCAGAGAACACAAACCCTAAATCCATAAACCCCTTCACCTCTTCGAACTCCAGCGACGACAGGCTCTTGCTCGCCGGCCCTTTCTTCGCCGCTCTGCGCGCCTTGGGCGGCGAATTGGAACCGGAGGCGGCGCGAGGTACCTTTCTGCGACGCGGGCGTGGAGGAGGAGGGGGAGGGGAGTAGTTGGTGAATTGTTCCAATTCGTCTCCGGTGGCTTCTTTGCCGGAGAGGATTGTGCGGAGCTGAGAAGTGAGGACGGAATCCGGCGAGGCCGGGATGTTGTGGAAGCTCGGCTTCGTGTACAGATCCTCGCTCACGGATCTGAGAATCGTCGATTGGCCGCCGCGAGTCGTCGTCGGCGGCGGCGGAGGGGGAGATTGTTGCTTCTGGATCTGCATATAGATGCTGGCCATAGTCGGCGTCTCCGGCGGGGAATCCGGCGGCGAAGGGGAAGAGGTCGTTGACCGGTCCGTCAATATCTCCATCTCGAACCAGTAGGAATCGTAGAGGTTCAGAGCTTCACTTGCGTCCATCAACGGAAGAGCGGCGGCGGCGGAAGAGGGAAGTAGAAAAGTCTGGAGAATTCTTTTTTATATTTTTTTTCTTTTACCAGTTTGGAGATTTTGTTTCCGTTTGGGTTTTAATTGCGAAGAACACGGGAGAGTCGTCGTATATATATGAGAGAGCGGACCCTGGAATGACCGAAATGCCCTTTCCAGTTGTTGGAAAATATGACTAGTAAACCATTCAAAATTCAGGAATAAAATAATTAGTATCGTGTCAGCGTGGGACATAATAATTAATTAATTTCGGTAATCTTCCGGGTCCGGGTTAGCCCCGGTAAAGCTGAGTGATTATGCAGTTTTAATCGGGTAATGCGTGGAAGGATTATGACGTGGCTTGGAGATGAAGCGAAACCAATAATGGAGCCTGATGTGGGACCCACGGCGCGGCAAACCCCATGATCTTGGATTTTGTCTCTCGTATTTATTTATTTTATTTTTTGTTAATTTAGGGGAGGGAACAAAATGGCAATCGTCAATGATGATTAATTACCATTTATTTCGGGTTTTGTTTTTTTGTTTTACAAAGCATCTCTTTGCTTACTGATCTCACAGTTCACACTCACAATCGAGTTAGTCTGGCACTGATGAAAAAGATATCGACGATAAATTCTAATCTAAATAATTATTTTTGAAAAAATACAATTTTGTGTTCAATTTTTTTTAAGTTAGTGAAATATTAATTAACTATTTCGAAATTAATTTATTTTACTAATATGACCACTTTTTTACGACATAGATACATTTTGTTAGCTACTACTATTTACAACCAGTATCATCGAATGTTTTTGCGTAATGACATCAGACAACAAAAGAAAATCACAATTTGTCCAACATCTTCAACATTGTTACATCCAACAAGGAGTGACATCTAATTTCGAAAGTTATGGTGATAAACTTGACTTGCATAATTCCTCGTAGCTTTGAGCGATACATATTACAGGTGGAAGTATGCAGATATTATATTAGCAACTTGACTTGCAAAATATTTCAAACTCATGGAATGCAAGGAGTTCTATTAGCAACTTTTTTATGATCATATTATGGATTTATTATTAACTATACAAGTTTCAATGAAAATGATTTAAACTCAAATGATATTGTAGTGATACAATACTAATATTATGGAGGATTGCGACCAACTAAACTATAGGAAAACAAGGGTGTTGAACATTTCAAGTGAAAGGATAATATCACAACAATTTTCCAATTAAAATGTATATAGTAATACATTCAATAGGAGAGAGAAAAATACTCACATGGTAGATTTAGAATTGTATGTTGACATGACATCTCAAACAATTCTGTTTTCATTCAATGTTGACATGATTATCATAAACTGCAATCGCATATGATTATTATTTTGTTTATTTTTATCTTTTACTACTTCAGAGTTTATAACTACATCAACTCTGCTTGTAATTACAAGTGAATTTCATTGTTAAATGTGAAACGAAATTGAGATGAATGTGATTACTAGAATGGCTGAGATTTCGATAAGAAGAACACATAAAACTACAAATGAATTGAATTGGTAAGAACGATGATGGGTTACTCTATTCTGTAGGGGATTTTCTTTTAGTTAGTCTCAATCATTATGTTTAATTAATAGCATATATTATGAAGTGTTTATCCTCATCAAAATAGACCGTGTTGTGTTCAAGGGGGGAACAAGAAAGTACACGTGCAGGAATGGAGGATGTACTGTGTGTTTATCCTGATGAAAATGGACCGTGTTGTGTTGGTTAATTACTTGATTATAATTAGAGTTCGGTTTAACAGTCTTTGGAGGGGGATTACGTGTTGATTAGTGACTACTCACTGACTAACTACCCAAAGTTTTGTTCAAAACCGAGTGAACGAAAAAGAGGTCAGGGACGGACAAGTGAAGTACGGAGAAGAGCTTCGGCAATGTCAACGTGGCGTGAGAACATATTCCATCGGCTGGCCGAGGAGGGTAGTCCGGTAAATTGCACAGGCTGAGGGTTTTCTATAATAAATTAATAATTTATTAATTATTAGGCCTTGCCGAATATTGTGGTACTCCGAGTGTGGAAAGCTCAGTTTCAAACAATGGGCCCTGGCCGGGCCCAATGTGAAGTGAGTTAAAGTGAAGCGGTCCAGTCACTTGGTTTGGTACGTGGGGAAGAGACGAGATGAATACGGGTTTCCACGTGCATCTCGTGCGCGTTCTTTTTCTCCCCCTCTTTCTCCAAAGCAAATGCTCCTTTCAGCAAGGGCTTTAAGATAGGGTTATTAACCATGCAGATCCTTCTACTTTATTCTTTAGCAAATTGGTCCTTCAACTTTCCATTTTAACGAGCACACTCGTAGTTTAATTTATATAAAAAATGGATGGGTGAGTGACGAATGGGCCCGCGGGAACCCAACTTCTGCAGCTCAAGTCAACTGATAATAAATAAAATGTGGGCTCGTGGCAGATATGGGCCTTACTAATACTATACTGCTGGTCTGAAACTGATAAACATAAACACTTTTCATACTAACTCCCTGGACAGAAACGAGGCAACGTCGATTGTTTTTTTGTATTACAACAATCACGTGGTTATTAACAAATTATTTTTTCATGGGGAAGTTTGATTAGTCTAGCTTAACCAAATGGGTCCTACATGTCATTTTCACTTTCTTGACATAAAATTCTAGATAGGATGCAATTCAAATCAATTGATTTTAGCATGCAATTTAAATAACTTGTACAGAGGGTGGCAAATGGATTGATCCATAGATTAGTGGATCCATGAATCAAATGGATTTGATGCATGCAATGGATTAGTGGATTCATGGATTGGATCCAAATGACATCCTCAACCAAGGACCAATATGTAAAATGTGAAAAGTTTAGGTACTAAAATGTCATAATGAAAAATTTTAGATACCAAAATATAATTTTCCAATGATATTTTTCGTATAAAAATTTAAATTTTGTGTACCAAAATGTAAATTATAAAAAGTATAGGTACCAAACCGTAATTTGCCATTTGGATCCACCAATCCAATTGGATTTGGATCAAATGGATTGGATTAGGTGGATATTTTAAATGGGTTGGTGGATTGAATTGAGAATTGCCACATCTAGTTGCGTACCATCGAATTGCATGGCGATAAGGCGGCCGGCGGAGATACTCTGTATGAGCTGAAAAACTGGGCAAATCTCCTTTGGCAGCTTGATTGAATATCGGCGGACACGACTGGCCTGCAAAAACCTTCTGCCGAAGGAGTATCCGCCCAGTCTTTCATTCATGCACGCCCTTCCAACCCTAGCCATCTTCTTAACATCTGCACTTCTGTGATTATTCGTAGGGCATTGTATTTTGTATATATATAGGGCACATAAGGCTCAAGAGGGAAGGCTAGCTTTTAGCTTAGGGTATTTTTCCCGTACGTACTCAGATCGAAAGATGGGATATCCAAACGCACATACCCGCGCCAAAGAGAGATGATCAGTATAGCCAGCTGCTGCAGAAGGTCATATATTGAATCTGTGGCTATTGTTGCATGCTCCAAATGGTAACGTTTAGTATATGTTGGCATTATTCGGTGGCATGTTTTGGGTCACTTTTAGGATTCATTTTCCCGATGGCGCTCCTTTTTTTTCTTTTCATGTTTCTTTTGTACGCACGTAGCAGCAGGAACTATACCTTTGTGCTATATGTATGATTCCTCTTCTCTTCCGGCCCCTCCTCGATTCTCAGCGTCTCAACCAAATATTGTAAGTTCGTGGTGAAAAGTTGGACCGGATAAATAAATCAATGGTAGGATATTTTGTGTTTAAATTGTGATTTAGACATTACTTAATTATCGGTAAAATTATATATATATACCGGTTTGGACTTCGATGGGTATTTTTTGAGGTGAACCGTACGAGTACGGTTTAGCAAACACTGGTCCCAACTCAGAGCCTGACTAGCTTTCTTTTCTACTTTCATTAATTTTTTTCCTGATTTCTTCGCTTAGCTCGATCTTCTCTCGCTGTAGATGCTTTAATACAACTTCTTATGCCATGTCTGTTGGGGTTTAAAGTAGTGTAAATCGGAATGAAGGCAAGAGAGCTAAAGATACCTCTTCATTAAGTTTAGAATGCCAGTAAAGTACGTTCGTGATGCGTGATTGCGGATTTCACGTATCGTGGAACTCGAATTCTTCTACGAAAACTAATGAAACGCGATAAAGATAGCTAAATTACTCTAATTTACTTTTACTCTTATTCACTGCTTGACGAAAACCAAATAATAACGTTCATATTTATAGAACTCTCTCACAACCCTTTCCCTATCAAACAAGATAAACTAATCCTAACCCAACAAGACAACAATGACTTCCTCAATAAGACACAATAAACTAATACAAATATCTCAAATTACCATTATAATCTAATAATTAACTAATAATAAAATTCTAATTACTAAGCCCATACTCGGCCACGAGGCCCAAGGATGCGTGCATGCATCAGTTCGTTTTATTTTAGAATGAATAGTTCCAAAACATTGGGTATCGAGAGAGTAGGGACCTAAATTCTTCGAAGGACAAACAATATTACAATTATTTGTTTGTATGCTGTGTTTGCACTTTGCATGATCTTATATTCTTCTTGACATATATATTATTTTATGCATGCTAATTACTACGTACTTCTCCTTAAGTTGTCATCCATTTTCATATACTATTCTTCTTATTAAAGAACAAGTAAGATGTGCACTATTACTTAGAGTCACATCATGCTAATGATTGGTTTTTTGCTTTTTGTTGTTGTCTTTTAGTTGGTTAGTGTCTTTTGGTTCTCTGTTATTGTTTTGTATGTTTGCTTGAGTGAGTGTTGTGTTGTTGTTGTTTCTTAAAACGTATTATGTTTCTAACCGATCTTGAACTGTGTTTTTCGATTACTCTTTTTCTTTCTACCTTCTTTTTGCTCTCTTACTTTTTCTTTGCTTTCTCGATTGCGTTCTTATGTTGTTTTCATGTCGGATTGTCTTTTGTTCTCGAGACTGTTACTTATAGTCATATCATGCGTATTATTTCTTTACCGATCTTCAACTGTACCTCTCGATTACTCTTTTCCTTTCTACCTTCTGTTTTGCTCTCTAACTTTTTCCTTGCTTTCTCGATTGCGTTGTTATGTTGTTTTCATATCGGATTGTCTTTGTAAACGATCTTGAGTTGTTGTTCTCGAGACTATTACTTATAGTCATATCATGCGTATTATTTCTTTACCGATCTTGAACTGTACCTCTCGATTACTCTTTTTCTTTCTGCCTTCTGTTTTGCTCTCTAACTTTTTCCTTGGTTTCTCGATTGCGTTGTTATGTTCTTCTTAAAGCGTACTGTGTTTTTAAACGATCTTGAAATGTTGTTCTCGATACTATTGCTCACATCATGCAAAGAATTGTTTTTTCTTTTTTGCTGTTGTCTTTTAGTCTGGTAGTGTTTTAGTTTTCCTTTTATTGTTTTTTCTTTTCCTCGCGTGAGTGTTGTGTTGCTCTTTTTTTTTTTTTTTACATTTTGAACTGTGTTTTTCGATTACTCTTTTTCTTTCTGCCTTCTATGTTGTTTCTTACTCTTTTTCCTTTCTTTCTCGATTGCGTTGTTATGTTTCTAACCGATCTTGAACTGTGTTTTTCGATTACTCTTTTTCTTTCTACCTTCTTTTTGCTCTCTTATTTTTTCTTTGCTTTCTCGATTGCGTTCTTATGTTGTTTTCATGTCGGATTGTCTTTTGTTCTCGAGACTGTTACTTATAGTCATATCATGCGTATTATTTCTTTACCGATCTTCAACTGTACCTCTCAATTACTCTTTTCCTTTCTACCTTCTGTTTTGCTCTCTAACTTTTTCCTTGCTTTCTCGATTGCGTTGTTATGTTGTTTTCATATCGGATTGTCTTTGTAAACGATCTTGAGTTGTTGTTCTCGAGACTATTACTTATAGTCATATCATGCGTATTATTTCTTTACCGATCTTGAACTGTACCTCTCGATTACTCTTTTTCTTTCTGCCTTCTGTTTTGCTCTCTAACTTTTTCCTTGGTTTCTCGATTGCGTTGTTATGTTCTTCTTAAAGCGTACTGTGTTTTTAAACGATCTTGAAATGTTGTTCTCGATACTATTGCTCACATCATGCAAAGAATTGTTTTTTCTTTTTTGCTGTTGTCTTTTAGTCTGGTAGTGTTTTAGTTTTCCTTTTATTGTTTTTTCTTTTCCTCGCGTGAGTGTTGTGTTGCTCTTTTTTTTTTTAACATTTTGAACTGTGTTTTTCGATTACTCTTTTTCTTTCTGCCTTCTATGTTGTTTCTTACTCTTTTTCCTTTCTTTCTCGATTGCGTTGTTATGTTGTTTTCATATCGGTGTTTCCTCTTCCAGACAAATACAGTTTTTCCGTTCGTTTTATGAATGTACATGATTCTTTGTCCTGGTGGTGATGGCCTGTGTGCGGTCGGACAATTTTGTTGCAAATTATATTCCATAATTGTGCGAATGTTGCACGTTTGGTTAGGGAATTATTGGGTCTCCATGCGAATTGCGTTCAGTGGACGAGGATATGACCAAATACAATCTACAATTTTGCTGGTCTTGCCTTTGACTTTATGGTTTATATTAAACTACCTTTACCTTTATGGTTTATATTAAACTAGGAGGGACACGAAACAGTACATCACCATGCCTGGGTTCTCCACTATTGAATTCCCTTACCTTTTTGGATGTGGTTTCCGATGGGCTGTTCTCTCTTCTGACAGACCCGCTTGTCCTTACGAAGTGAAATAATGGTCAGAGAAGTGCTGGTTTCCCCTCTACTTTATACTGGTGTATCGATCCCCGTTCCATCAAACCTTGCTTTTCGCCTTTGCTCTTACCCTTTCACTTCGCCGTCGTTCCACCGCTTGCTCTGTTGGTTGCCATTTTGGTCTTTCTCAATCATCATTGCACCTTCGCACTATCACATGTCTACTCTTTGCCCAGGATATTCATCGACTTCCCTCTCCCTTCGCCACTTGACCTCCTGTTTCTTACTACTCTTTCCAACAGTGTTTCCCCTTTCAGAGATTGACGATGGTCGGCCATAAGCTTTTACTTGATCTCAAAGATACAGATGGTTTGCAAACTGCTTTGAAGCTTCGCTTGCTGCATGCCTGGGGCTCTTATGGTTTGAAGAACCCTGCTCTTATCTACAATTACTGCACACTCTGGACTGATGAGGAGGTTTGTCTGCTGTTCTCCCCCGTTTATTTGTGCTGCTTCCCTCTGTTCTGTTTTTCCTCCTCCTGACGTTAATCCTCTTCTTTATCCAGGGTACTTTGATCCAGGGGCTCGCTCCTGCTAATCTTATGCAGCATTTTGCGCCTATTCTGCAGCTTGGAGCTGTCTATATGATCAGCAACTTTACTGTCCAGCCACCGTCTCCGGATTATCGCCCCTGCTCTCATCACCTTAGTATTCTCCTCTCGCCTAACACTATGTTCGAAGATCTAACGGCTGAATCGCCTGATTTCTGGGATGATTCGTTTGAATTTGCTTCGTTTGCCTCTTTGCATTCACGAATTCGCTCGTCTGTCAACCTTACAGGTATGTGTGCAGTATTAGTCCTCTTTCCTGACCTTTTTATAGGTGCCTGTTTAAGTTTTTTGTTGCCTTTGGTTCCTCTTTCTGGTAGATGTTGTTGGCGTTGTTGTAAGCGTGACTGGTGTTTCCAACTCCGTTACTTCTTTTGGCGAAACTGTGCGTCGTGAAGTGGTTCTTCAGAATGAAAGGTTTGTGCCTTATTGATCGTCTATGCTTTCTCTGTTTGCCTTTTCTTCTTTTTACTTTTTTTTAACACAAAATTCTCGAGCTTTTCGCAGCCACATGCTTCTTGATATTACTCTGTGGGGTGAAATTGCTCGGTCTGTGGATGGTGAGGAATTGGCTCACATTGGTCATGCTGGATCGGTGGTGCTTGGTATTTGTGCCCTGCGGGTCACTGGCGCCACTAAGGGTTACCTTCGACTGTATTTTTGCTCTTTCCTGAATTCTCCTTTTGGAATGTCGCTTGCTTATTGTTTTTTACCCTGTATTCGTCACAGGAGGTTTCTCTTTATTCAGCACACCCGGAACACGTTGTGTGCTCGAACCAGTGTGTGACCAGACCCATGTGCTCCATTCTGCGTAGGTTTATGCTAATTGCCATGTTGTTTTTACCCCCTGTATTCTTCTTAACCTTGATTCTTGCCATTGTAGGTTCTTTGCTGGTACCAACACAGTTCAATACTATCCTCCTAGGTTTTCAACCCCAGGCGAAGCAATTGCATTCAAGGAAAGCTGTACTAAAAGTGTATCGGAACTCCTTGAACTTTGCAGCCCAACGATTGCTGATGTAAGTTCTTGCCTGTCTTCTTCTTTCCTCATCTGACCATGTAATTTACAGAGTTTTAGCTGCACATCTTCTTCCTATAGTTGCTTTTAGATTTGCGCACATGCTATATTTCACTAACCAGATTTTTCCCCTTCTCTTAAGGCTACGCGCTATCATTGTGCTGCTGAAATCATATCCATAGAGTCTGAGCGTCCGTGGTACTACTTAGGCTGCTCATCGTGTTCCAAGGCTGCTAAACCTTATGAAGTGCCTGACTATTGGTGCGAAGACCATCGTCGTATACCACCTGAACAGACACAAAATTGGTTTGTGTTCTTCCTCTTGCTTTTCAATTTCCAACAACCTCACTTAACTATTTTTTTCCCGCACTGTGATGTAGCTATAAAGTTCGCATGATTGTGGAGGATACTACTGCTACTGCTACCTTTGTTCTGCTTGGTAAATCGCATGATGCTCTTTTGGGGGGCTCAGCTCCTGAACTTTCTGCACGCTTTCCTCACCAACGTGGCCATTTGCCACCTGAACTTTTGGCTCTTGAAGGGAGGCGGTTTGTCTTTGATGTCCAACTTCCAAAACCAATGTATTTCGGGCGGGGCCCCGCTGAATTTACAGTCCTCTCTGTTGTAGAGCAGAATCAGCCTCCAGTACCTCGCCCTTCGCAACGTCTGCCACCGAGTGCATCTGTTTCGACAACCCCACCTCGGTATACCTAATTTGTTCTCGCCTGTGTTTCTTTTGTCCGCTTTACTTGTACTAATATTGTTTAGGTGTGGTCTTATAGGTCCGTCAATACTGTTTCCACTTCCCATTCCTCACCCAGCCATGCACTGTCTCCTTCGCTTGCACCAACACGGCCATTGCCCGCCTCACCTTCTGTTGCTTCTGCAAGGTCTTTTGCCTGTCTTTGCATTTGTGGCCCTCATCGACTTCCGCTTTCTATCGATTCGGCTTATTAATTTGTCCTTCTTAAACAGCGGATCTGTCTCTGGGTTTGCATCACCGGTGCATGGGCCGGGAACAAGGTTGCCGTTCTTACTCTATGTTTCCTTTTCTAATTAATTTGCGGAGTTCCTTTCAGCTGCCCCTTTGTTTCATTTCCTTTCGGAATGACAGGTTCTTACTTGTGTCTCTCCTCTCTCTCTCAATTTAGAAATGTTATGTTAGCTCCTTCTCCGTCACATGCAGCGTATTCCAACATTTCCTATGCAAGGTATAATTATTTTTTTTTGTCCATTGTTGTCCGTGCTTTCTACATATCTGCCCTGCCTGTTCTTTCCCCTCCAATCCTTGCCTTATTGTTTCTGGTTTATCACACCATGTACGTTCTGGACTTTGTGTTTTTATCATACCAACGTATGCTTCGAATACTTTTACTTTTGTTTGTTTGCTGGTGTTCTGCAGTGTAGTGCCCGAATGGGGGACACTCGAATACCTTCTTTAGTATGTTTATTGCATTAGCATTGTGCGATGCCTGTCTTGGTTCCTTCGTTAGGTTACTTCGCACCATTCCACTCCGTACCTGTCGTTGGTTGTTGCTTCCCGAATTCTTGCATTTTCGCTTGCTCACTTTTTTTACAGTTTTAAATTTCCCTCATGTCATCTGATTCGTTCCTTTTCTTCACCGTGCTTCTTCCTTAATTAACTCTCATCAACCACGATCAGCAACACTTTAACTCTCTCTGTCTGGTCAGCTATACTGTAGTTTTCTTGCTGGTTGCAGGTGGGTCTGGTATGAGCCTTCATGTTTTACTCGGTCTCTTTATTGAAACTATCTGCCTATCACATTCTTTCTTTTTTTGCTTCTTGCTTGTCCTTTTCATGTTTTACCTTCCTTATCTACATTTTATGCAATATTTCTGCCCATTGTTTAGGCCAAGAGATGCGTTCGTGCCTTGTCCTCCTGCTTCACAGTCCCCAGATAGGTACCTCTTTGTTTCTCTTCGCACCACATTGCGTCTTTGTATTTTCTTAGATCATGGATGTTGTTACTGCACCTCATGTTTTGATTCCCTTCTTCACAGGCTTGCTGGAGTTTCGCAAACTCCTGTCTCCTCAACAAAGAACGATCGAAAGCGCTCAAGAAAAACAACTCCGCGCAAAGCTGAAGCTAAATCAAGGTTTTTAGTCATTCCACACCTTTTGCCTGTTCTCTTTGCTTACTATTTCACGTGCTTCTTGCTAAACTATGCTGACAAGATACACCTTGTCCTATTGTACATGGTCATTTAACTTTTCCTTTTCACATTACATTTCCTCTTTGTTGTTTTTTTAGATCATGAACATCGTTACTGCAGCGTCATGTTTGCTTGTCTGCTTTACAGGCATGATGGAGTTTCGCAATCTCCTGTCTGCTCACCAAAGAGCGATCGGAAGCGGTCAAGGAAAACAACTCCACGCAAAGTCGAAGCTAAATCAAGGTTTCTAGGTCATTGCACACCTCTTCCCTGTTCTCTTTGCTTACTATTTTACATGTTCCTTGCTAAAATGAGCAAATCCTCACAGGATACACTACGCGCTGTTGTGCACGGTCCTTTAACTTAGTCTGATTGCTTTGACTTTGCCTTCTTTTATTCCCGCTGGATTCACCTGCCCTCACATTCGAGTTATAGGTTCTGTCCTCTTTTGCCATCGAGTTATTTTGTGAATGATCTTTCAATTCGTATTTGTTTTTTTATTCAGAGAGCGTTGTCATTCGTCAGGATCTGATGAGGTCCATCCATTTCATGCTGTTCGGAAGACTAAAAACCGTCCTGCCCGTTCGAGGGACATTGAATTTAGCCCCGTTCAATCGTATGTTTTTAAAAATATTGTTTTGGGTGCGTGATGGTTTTCTTTCCTTAATCTGTTTACTTATATTGTTTAATTTGGTTTGCTAGAGAAAACTCGCCGGACCAGCCTCATTCGACTAGACGCCGACGGTTGGTTACTCATTCAGTTGAAGTTAGTGCTCCTGCTGGTCCTGATGCCAGCATTGGCGACACTTGTGAACTAGATGATCCAGTTTCGGATCAGGATGGATCACCATGTCATGAGAATTTTGTCTCTGCTTCGCTTGATGAACCTCATCTTGATGCTTTGGATACACAGCCGTCCATTACCGAAGCTTCCACTCCTTCCAGAGCACAGCGTGTTCGCACACCGTCGCGCAAGGCCATTGAGTCATCGGCGCAGGAATCTGCCAAAAAAAAGAACACCCCAAAGTCTTCGCGCAAGGAACGTGCCAAGAAGCAGCTTTTCACAAATTAGCCTTCACTTTCGTCGTTCGATGTTACTCACCTTCTGCTACTTAAATTGTACCTGATTCCTGGAATACTTTAGCTGCCTTGCTTGAATGCTGGTACTTCATTTTGGTTTTGCACTCGTCTCTGCTGCTGTTGTACCTGCTTTTGTTGTCCCCTTATTTTGTGGAAAGCCTGACAAGGTTTTCTAACTGAGTCATCTTCTGCCTGACCAGGGATTATGCCATCGTTTATGTTATGTCATGGACATGCTTGCCTGTCAATGTTATGAAGGTTTCTTTCGTTTAACTTTTCGCTTCTATTGAGTTTCTTTGGAACTTATCTTCCATTCGTGTTCTTTTCTGTCATTTCCCACATAGGATTCCGGTCGTTATTACAAACATTCTTTGTTAGTGGCAGATTGTTTGCAGCCTTGATCTGATGAATGAGACACAATGTGCTCAATCGTTCTCTCGGCAAATTCGATTTCGATCCTTTTTGTTCCTTTTGCTTTCACAAATTTCTTGATGGCCATCGTTCCTTTTTGGCACTGTCAAAGGCTGATTTATTTGTGGAGAAAGAATATAGCATTTAGGAAATCATTCCCGTTTATTTGTGCGAAACTCAAATATGCTATCGTTGGTTGTATTTGACAACGTCCAGGTCAGCTGTACAGATAGAATCCAACAAATGCATCTTTCTTTTTTGCTGTGCTGTTATTTATTGATGAATTCCACCGTTTCTTCTGAAGATGGAATGTGTACTTTGGGTGTTCAGCTAGCTTAATTAACTGCTAATTTTTTTTACATTTGCTTTTTTATATGTCAGCTTGTATTTAATGCTCTGACCATTATTTGTATATCTGTCCTTTACTCATGTCAAGTGATAATTCTTAACTGACACCCTTGATTAAATTATTGCTATTCTATTAAATATCTTTCACTTTAGTAAATCCTATTCATCTTCTTCTTCCATTACTGCTCCTGTCATTTCTACATACCAGTTTTAACTACTCCTGCATTTATGTATGCTCTTTTCGGTGTGCTGTTGTGTTATCCCATTCTGTGCCTGGCATTGAGTTTTGGTACCTGATTTGCTGTCAGAGAATTCCTTGCATGGTTACCTATTTACAAAATGGTGAGACTTATTGCTACCTATAAATGCTACTATTCTGTTATATATATGGACGCCTTCCTTACTTCTTCATTGTTTCCATACATTCATGTCTTCTGTTCTTCTTTTGCTTGCAGGCTTCAGCCAGTCAGTGTGCAAACCTTATTCCCGGTTACAGTGCTGCCCGAAAACGTCGCCGTCTGCTGTTGTCTCCTGAATCTGTGCCAGGAACACCACCTATGAAACCTTCTATACGGCGTCGAACATCTGGTTTTGACAGGCGTACTCGCTTGTTCCCAATGATCAATTCACCAACTGGTGACTGTTCTTCTCGACCAGCCTTACATTCCTTTGACTCTCCTGTTGGTTCGCCAAGAACTCCACCTGCTGGTGTATACCTTGACATGCAAGCATCAGAAGAATCAGAAGGTACTTGGACTCCTCCTTCCCGCCAACATGATTATGTCAAAATTCTTGAACATGGTCTTCCGGATCATGAATGTCAGTTTTGTGGTGCCCGCTTCTGGTACGAAGAACGTCTTAATAGGCATCGTTCAACTACTCCTGTTTATACATTATGTTGCCAAAAGGGACGTGTGCGGTTGCCTTTCCTTCAAGAAACTCCACCGTATTTAGAACAGCTTCTTGGTATCAATGGTGGTCCTATGGCTGTGCACTTCAGAGAACATATACGGTCCTAGGGGTGGGAAACGGTGCGGTTGCGGTTAACTGCACCGCAATTTGCGGTTAACTGCAACCGCAAAGCACCCATATTGGCCAACCGCGACCGCGACCGCAACGGTTAGCGGTTAACCAAAAACCGCAGAACGCGGTTAGCGGTGAACCGCGGTTTATGATTGTGAAAACCGCAACAACCGAAACACCATATGAAACCGCGGTTAGCACTCTAACCGACAATTAACCGCGAACTAACCGCAAAAAAAATCATGGAAAAAAAACACAGCAGCTACTGTTTTGTCTATTTTCACTTCCATCAAGCCCTTGCATCTGTTTGCATATCCAAATAAAACAATCCACAAGCACAAATGCACAATGCCACAATCCTGCTGGCTGGGCTGGGGTCAATTATGGGCTGGGCTGGGGGTGAATTATGGGCTGGGTCTGGTTTCGCGGTTAGCTTTGCGGTTATATAAATTTGCGGTTTCGGTTGCGGTTAAACCGCAAACCGCAAAACATGCCATATCTCCAACCGCGACCGCAAAATAGGCCAAATATGCGGTTTGCGGTTAACCAATAACCGCGCGGTTTCGGTGCGGTTGTCGGTTTAACCGCAAACCGCCAACCGTTTTCCCAGCCCTATACGGTCCTACAATGCAGCCTTTTCCTTTACATCGTTTGATGCTCGACTTGATCCTCGGGCATCGCGGACACGAGGACCATACTCATTTATTATTTGTGGTGAGAATTACCACCGTATGGGCTCTTTGTTGCCTGTTGCTGGCCGCAAACCAAAGTATTCGCAGCTATATGTTTTTGATCCTCAGACTGAACTTTCTGATCGCCTCACTAATTTTTCCTCGGCAGAAACTTGCTTGCAGCCAGAGATAGTTGCAGGACTGATGAAACTATTTGATGTAACAAATGATTTGGTCAGGTCTTTTCGAAGAATTCGAACTCAGTTGTCAGATTCTGCTTCTGCAAATCTCCGCTTGCGAATTGTGGGTGCAAGAAATATAGATTCTCGCCAGTATGAACTCCCAACAGGAAATGAACTAGCAGGCTTGATTCCTGGGGACTTTCTGCCTGACAAGGAAGAACGTGATATTATTATTGATCATAGATCAGAAGGTCTTAAAAGAATAACGAGTCTTAACCCTAAGTTTGATTCCTTACATTTTCCTGTGCTCTTCCCATATGGTGAAGATGGGTTCCATGTCAACATACCGTATGATGTCGTTCATACTCCACCAACTCTTAAACACAAATTTGTTACTCAACGTGAATACTATGCTTTTCGACTGCAGCATAGAGATGATGAAGGCCAGACTTTAATGCGTGGTGGGAAAGCTCTACAACATTATGTAGTCGATGCATTTTCGACTATTGAACAGAATCGACTTTATTATTTACGATCTCATCAGGAGGATCTTCGATCTGAATTGTACTATGGTCTTACTGATGCTTTTGATAGGGGTGATGTCACAGGGGATGATATTGGTAATGTTATTTTGCCTTCGTCGTATACCGGCAGCCCTAGGTATATGAAACAATTGTATTTGGATGCAATGGCTGTTGTTCATCATCATGGCAGTCCGGATCTTTTCATCACCTTCACATGCAATTCTCAATGGCCTGAGATTACAGAATCGTTTCGTCAGCTCTGTGGGTCGCGGAGCAAGCTGAAACCCGAAATTGTTGCCAGGGTTTTCCGTATGAAGCTTAATGCTTTAGAAGATGAACTGAATCGATCACATTTCTTTGGGAAAACTGTTGCGGGTATGTTTTGTTGTTGTCCTGTGTTCGCTGCATTTGGATTCCTTCTTGAATTAGTATGCATCAAATTTATCGCTACTTCCTGTTTAGATATTCTGTTCTTTTTAGCTTTTGCTTTTCCTACATGACCTTCTACCTGATTTGTATGCAGGAATCAAGACAGTTGAGTTCCAGAAAAGAGGCCTGCCTCATGTCCATATATTATTGTGGTTGGATGAGAAAAGCAAGCTCAAAACACAAGCTGATATAGATGCCACTGTGTGTGCTGAGTTACCGGATCCAGAACTTGATCCCGTTGGTTATGCAGCAGTTACAAAGTACATGCTCCATGGTCCCTGTGGTGACGATAAACCAACTAATGTGTGTATGAAAGATGGCAGGTGTTCAAAGTATTTCCCAAAACTGTTCAATTCAGAAACCACCACAGACCAGTTTGGTTATACAGTGTACAGACGTCGTGACTCAGGGATTACAGCCTCTAAAGGCAGTGTGGAGCTCGACAATAGATTTGTCGTCCCGTATAATAGGAATCTTCTTGTGCTTTTTCAGGCACACATCAACGTCGAGGTATGTCATCAAGGTCGTCTTATTAAGTACCTCTTCAAATACATAACAAAAGGGCCAGATCGGTCAATTGTGGTGGCAGAAAATTCGGCACCAGCTGTCGTTGAAGGTTCCGCACCACCTGTTAATATTTCACTTGGACCACAACCAGTGCCTCCTATTGATGAAATTAAACGCTACTTAGATTGCAGGAGTCTATCTTCATACGAGGCAGCATGGCGTCTTTTTGAGTTCCCTATTCATGAAAGAACACCTACAGTACAACGGTTGTGTGTCCATCTTGAAGGCAGGCATAGTGTTCCTTATAGAAAGAAGCAGAAACTTTCTCATATACTGGCACGTGCAGCTGTTGCAGAGACGACTCTAACACAGTGGTTTGTTCTTAATCAAACATATGAAGATGCGAGGTGTTTGCTCTATGCTCAGACTCCAAATAAGTATATGTGGAACCTTAAGAAGAAAATGTGGTCCAAACGGAAGAGAGGTTTTGCAGTAGGCAGGATTGTTTATATTAATCCTGGTGCAGGAGATACTTTTTATCTTAGGCAGCTTCTCACCAAGGTTCGTGGTGCAGTTAGCTTTGCTGATTTGCAGACAATTAATGGTTTCCCATGTCGAACTTACCAAGCTGCTTGCCAGCGTCTTGGTTTGCTTTCTAATGACGATGAATGGCTTCTTGTTCTTAAAGAAGTCAATTAATGGGGTATGTCTGGTCTCCTCAGGTATCTCTTTGTGTCCATGCTCATGTTCTGTGAACTTGCTGATCCACTGACTCTCTTTAACCAAACATGGGAGATGCTTTCAGAAGACATTACATATCGCTGTCAGCGCAATGTCAATTTTAACAATCATCTTATCCCCCCTGATCTGCCAAAAATTCTTTGTTGTGTGAATTGCAGCGTATGTTGGCTTCTTACTCCACAACGCTTTCCCATTTCAATCTCCCACTGCCTACAGTCCAAATTCTGCCTGACATTGACCACATGTATTCTGACTTTCACATGCAGCATTCTGCTTCTTCAGAATCTGCTTCTTCACTTCCCTGTTTGTCCAACCTAAATGAAAAGCAAACAGCTGCATTCCATTCGGTGATTGACTCTATAATTTCACCTGTGCCGAATGGTGGAAATTTCTACTTTCTTTATGGACATGGAGGAACTGGCAAAACTTTCCTGTATAAGACGATTCTTGCACATCTTAAGGAACTTGGCAAGATTGTCCTTGTGGTGGCTTCTTCTGGTATTGCTGCAACTCTCCTTCAAGATGCATCCACAGCACATTCTCGATTTAAGATACCATTGGAAATTGATCAGGCTTCTTCATGCAACATAAAGAAGGGTACGCCACTTGCTCAACTAATACTTGATGCAGCTCTTATTATATGGGATGAAGCCCCAATGGTACATCGACTGTCATTTGAAGCAGTTGATCGTGCTCTTTGTGATGTCATGAATGTACCTTTTACTGGGGTTCATTACAGGCCATTTGGAGGGAAAGTCGTGCTCTTAGGGGGTGACTTTCGGCAGACACTTCCGATTGTTGCTGATGCTGGGAGAGAGGAAAGTGTTGATGCATCTTTGACCTGCTCTTATCTATGGACTACCTGTACTATTCTGCAGCTAACAGAGAACATGCGCATTACAACTTCTGCTGGAAATGAATCCATGACATTTAATGGAATGGACTTCACAAGATGGACTCTTTCAGTAGGTAATGGAGCACTACCAGGGAAATGTTTTTACCAAAATCAGCCAGCTGATTGGATTGAAATCCCAAAACAGTTGCTGGTTTCCCCAACCGATACACCCATTCAGACAATGGCTTCTGAGATTTACACTGATTTTGCAGTTCGGTTTCACAGTGCTGCGTACTTAACTGAGCGCTCCATAATTACGCCTACCAATCGGAATGTGACAGAGATTAATTCTCATATGCTTGCATTAGTTCCAGGTCAGCAACGTGCCTATTTCAGTAGCGACACTTTACATACTGACGCAGTCGATCCATCTTGGCTTGAGGCAGAATATCCCACGGAATTTCTGAATGGTTTGTCTTTCAATGGATGTCCTGAACATCAAATTGACTTGAAGGTGTTCACGCCGATCATGCTGCTGAGAAACTTGAATCCAGAAATAGGATTATGCAACGGAACCCGGCTTATGGTTGTTTATCTAGGTCATTATGTGATAAAGGGAGTTATTATGGGTGGGACATTCAACGGCAAGACTGTTGCGATCCCAAGGATTGTTCTAAATATCGATGACCGGCGTTGGCCATTTGTTCTTAAGCGGCGTCAGTTCCCTGTCAGACTTTGCTATGCCATGACAATAAACAAGAGTCAAGGCCAAACACTAATTAGTGTTGGTGTGTACCTTCCCAAACCTGTTTTTAGTCATGGGCAGTTGTACGTGGCTGTATCTCGAGTTAGATCAGCTGATGGGCTACGATTCCTTATTGTTAACGAGGATGACATTCCATGCAACTACACTCGCAATATCGTTTACGAAGAAGCATTTGCAGATCTACAGCTTCCTGGTCATTTTGACCTGAACTTTCCTTACAGGTTTGTTATTGAATCAGCACAATTATATTGTTTCAAACAATCAGCTGGCTTGTCTTCGGTGTGACCAATTTCTATTTTACCACGTAGCCCTCGCCACCCTGTTTCTTCAAACCCCGGAATAGGCTGCTGATGCTGCCTTTGTGTTGGGATCAAGATTGTAGCAATCTGCGGTAACTAAACTCCTATACATGGTTGTATACGTTTTTTGCGCTTTTATGCTTGACACTTTATTTTTCCTAATTTTGTTTTTGTTTTCAGGAAAGGTTATTGTTCTTTTGCAATGTTCATGATGGTTCTCGGTCGATCTACTTTGGGCCACTCTTTCCAAGACAGTTGGCTCCTTTGTTTCCAAGACTATTTGCATGAAACATTCGGTGTTCTCATTTATGTAATTGGAGATGATGTCCTCACCTTATCAACTTAACCTGTGTCAATCTTTTGCTTGGTTACGACAATTTATGAATGTCCTTCCACTCATCGGCTGCATATTGTGTCCAGTTTTTCTTATCTGCAAACAAACTGTACAGTTATGACCAAGCAGGCAACAAAAGTGTCATGTACACCTGCTGTCAAACCTAAGTTCCAGTTTCTCAGGGCAAAAAAAAAAAAAAAAACAGTCCACCTTGCTTCACTGTCGTGCCTGGCCCATTGTTCGCCTGCTCGGCCCAATTGATTAAACCCTATTTGATCTCTTTCTTCCGTATATAAATCATCGCCTACGCATAAACTTTCCGGACTTTCTGCCGTATCTCAGTTTTATTGGCCAGATCTCGGTTTTATTGGCCATATCTCAATTTTATTACCAGCTCTGCTGAGGCATGGCAGATGATTACACAATCGCATGGGCTCCTAGAGGTTAATTTCTAAATGTCTTTTTACGCTTTATAATTAGTATTTACATAATGCACTTTTTTCCTGTTCTCAATTCTTATCATCTTGCTCGCACCCAGATCTGCCTGCCGCGCCTCTCACAGTTAGATCGCTCCGCCTTGGCCGTAATGAAGGACCTATCATCCTCCGCCTGCTCAATCGATGGCAGGAAGCAGATGTTTCCTCACAGACGATGCTGATCCATATGTTGTTCATCGATAAAAATGTACACTCTACTCTACATTCCACTCATTACTTATACCGATATATTTACATTTCCCTGCCTTTTTCTCTCAGCGTGATCTGATCGAGGGAACTGTGTGTCCCAAACGGACCCATTGTACAGTGGAATCTTTGCTGGTCGATCAGATATACCTACTGCCCTGGGTAAGGGCAATTGAGAAACGCCTGACCAATCGAACATGTGCTTGTGTATATCGCCTTCAGATCGAAGTCGAAACAGTTATTCATGAATTGCACGAGATGCCACCGTACCAGTGGTTTCCAAAGATAGGATTCAGTCCAACACCGTTCTCTGAACTATTCCGCTTTGTCAATTCAGTGGTCGAATACAGAGGTAGTCACCTTATTTCAATCATTCAACTATTCCACATTACTAACAATCCTATTTAATTTCATTTAGATATTGTTGGTCGGCTGGTGAGCATATCAGACTACGAAGACGATGCAGCCATGCGTCGAAGTAGATCTTTTATTTTGCAGGATCAATCGTACGCAGTCTGTCATGTTGCTGTTCTTCCGCTCTTGCTATAAACCAGTACCTAACTGATGCTTACATATATGTTTTGTTCCATAGTGGCCAAAGTGTTTTTGTTAGATATGCTCCCCCACATATGGCTTTGGAACAAACATTTATAGCAACCTTAGAACGCCAGGGACCTGTTGTGTATGCAGTTACAGCATTACGTGTGCTTCGCTTTAAAGGTACATTTTATACCCGTTGTTTGGTGTTGTTGTTTTATGTACTTTCCTCTTATTTCGTGTCTATCATTCATTCCCAACAGGAACTGGTGAGTTCTGCTTGATTACAACAAAGGCATCCAGATTCATCGTAGCCTACTACACAAGGCCATTTAAACAGATAAAGGATAGGTGGAGTATACGTGTGCTCTTTCCACTAAATAATGTACATGTATCGGTTAGAACTTACACCCTAATTATCTGCAGCTTCTCACATCTGCACCAACCTGTTCAACTTGGACATAATCCAGTTCCAGTTCCAAAATATGTACGAGCCAACATGCCAATGAAAACAACGATCGTGCATCTCTTGGCCACGCTGGAGGACTTGTGCAGGCCATATAATGTATACTTTATACACATTTGCAACTTTTTCTAGACACTTGATGCACAATATTGACATTCTTATGTTTGTTGCTTGCACAAGATATCTGTCTGGTGCTTGATTAGGATTAAACAGATCAATAGGAACCAGAGATTCTATCATTGTGACCTTTATGACGATGATCCAGATTCAACAACTTATTCATACAGGTATATATAAAAAACATTGTCACGACAATAATATGTTTTTGTTAGTGATTTCCATCTTATGCACTTTCCTTCGTTTCAGGTTTAAGGTCTCTTGTGAAGATATTTCATGTCGAGGTACAACAAAAACATACGATCTTCTCTTTGGCCATTACGCAGCAATTGCCCTGTTGCAAAATACCGCTGAAGCTTTTGCAAATATGACCAAGGAAACGATTGCTAACATTTTGGATCCTCTGGAAGGCAAGCTTTTCGCAGTGGAGATTGTTCCATATTATGAGGCAGATTACTTCACTAACATACTTAACGTTGTCACTATATGGGATCCATTAGCTTATGCAATCATAACTTAGCTTCCTATGCCTATTCTGGGTGTTAGATATCTATTTTGCTGTTGCTCAAAACTCAGTAGGAGCTATTGTCAGCGTTGTTGTATTTTTCCTTATTTTATTAGCTTGCACAAGACAATTTCCTTATGTTTTATGATAACAGTGTCGTCGTTTTTGTTGTACAAAACGAAAAACAAAAATATCGTCGCCTTTGTCTGCGTCCTCATTATTCTGATTGGCCAGGGCCCGACCAAAAAAAAGCGGGCCTGCATACAAGGATTATGGAAAGGTGTTTTGACTCAGGTTTTCATACTATCAGGCCTGCACATGAAAACAAACATATGGGCCCATTAAACACAACTCCATTAGTTATGCGAACCGGCTGCATGAAATGGACCATGCCACAAATGTCATTTCTTTAATAGCCAGTTAACCTGGCCCAAGAAATCTGCTCAGTCCTTCCCTTTAGGGTTTCTTCCTCACCGTGCTCCTCATCGGTCAAAGAACCAACTGCCGAAACAAGCTCCGCATCATGAATCCGACAAAAGAAATCCACTGCTTGCGCCTTGGTTATGCAGAACACACGATTCAGGTCCGTTATTTGCACACATGGCGAGAAGAAGCAACAAAAGATACCGAAGTTAATCATCTTCTGCTCGACAAAAAGGTTTTCCTTCGACATTTTTTTAATGTCCTTTGTTTTTCTTCGTTTAATTGAGGATGCTTCTAAATCATGAACTACGATAGGGAACACTGATCGTTGCCACGGCAGATCAGACAACACGACAACCGGAACTGTTGCATCTGAGAGCCGGTGATATTTACAACATTTCCTCCTTCTTTGTCAATCCTGCAAGAATTGTTGGTCGTTGTTGCTCGAACAGTCAAGAATTGAGATTTGTTCATCATACTCTATTTCAACCTGTGCTTGAACCCCCACCATCAGAATATCACCCAATCAATATGTCAGAGGCAGTTCCTTTCTTGGATCTACATGTTCGCGCATTGGTCAATAAGGAACGATCAGGTATTTCATCAGGCCAGTAAATTCACAGTCCTCACATTTACTTACAAATTGTCTCCATACTCTTTGATTAGCTTTCTATGAACCAGATATTATAGGCCGCATAGCCGCCATCTCCAGAACTTATGTGGAGGAATCGTCCACAAGAACACCCATGCGCCAACTTATTCTCTTAGAAGATGATTGGTATAGATTTGATATTTAGAACTCTTACATTTCTCAATGAATATCTACTATCTGAATCCAATATCAATCTACTTTCCGTACAGTGAGCGCCAGATCCTGATACAAATCGTAGGCCACCCAATCATACACATACTTGAGGCCATGGTCGCTGAAGAAGAACGCAATGGACCAGTGATAGCAACTTTTACTTCCATGGTTGGCGTTTATTCTGAGGGTGAGATTTATGTCAGTACAACAGTATAGCAGTCCATTTTCGTGTCCTTATATTTTCTGTGTACAGGCAAAGCACTGTACAGGAACACATGCAGCACCAGAATAATCATTGACCAGAACTTACGGATGCATCGGCCAATGTTTTACCGGTTCGACATTCTTTGCTTGCGATCCTGGAATTTCTATACTCACTGGCATGATATCGTTGTGTTTTCAATCCTATGCAGACACTCAAGTTCAAACATGCCAATTTTCTGCATTGATCAAACCCGAAGCACGGAACTAATCAAGCCCCTACGACGACTGGGTCGTTGTCATTCAATAAATGACTTGCTTTTTTTACTGGCTGAAGATCGAGCATTAGATGGCGAACCTCCCATCAATGTATGTCCCTTTTCATTTTACGTTACTTATAGAATGTTCAAATTAAATGACCTCTGTCATTTTTCACTGTTGTTTGCATAGGCAACATTTCGATGCCTCGCAACAATCCAATCGTTCGATCAGCAGTTTGGTTACTTTACATGGTTATGCCCTGAGTGTTACCCAGAAAAACACAAACTGTTTCCAAATGATGAATGCTCCAGGTGCTCTTCAGGCATTTTTCATGATGACAGAATCAGAAGGTATGCAAATGTCTTTATAAAGATGGGTGCAACCAAACAAGTGGTGAATTTAGTCATATTACTTATCGATGGAAACAGTTTCTACATCTCAGCTGACGTGTTTGACGAGACAAACCAAACAACCTTCTTAATTAGCCATGAAGCGGCTGCTGCACTACTGCAAACAGGTGCAAGATGGGCCCTTGAGGCACAAGATGTTGAACCTCTTCTTCAAGCGCTTATTTACCGCTCATATGTATTTGAGGTAAGGCAATTACCTTGGTGCAATCAGAGGCGCGAACTATTTGAAGTTGTTGGAATTTGG